CACATATACACACAGACACACATATACACACACACACACATACACACACACACACACACACACACACACAGAGGAGAATCTATTTTTCTCATAAATGATTAAAAGTATCATTAGCTTATTGTTTGCATGTTGAGATAGAGAATCACAAAGAGATACAAAAAGCTAGAGAGGTTTTTATGTTGAAGTGTAACTCTTATATGGCATTTCCAGTACACAAGCAATGGTAGAAATCAACTTCCTGTGTGTGCACAAAAAGCTTCGAGCCAAGCGCCTAGCTCCAGTTTTGATTAAGGAAATTACTAGAAGAGTTAATTTAACTGGAATATTCCAGGTAAGAAGCTTTAAGAGAAGTATAAGATATTTTACTTTTCAGTAAGAGGTTAAGGAATATCTAAAAAGATGCAATATATGTGTCCATTGTCCATTGCACTTCTCTTTTCTGGCTATGCCTAAAGTTGTTTTATGTATTCTTTAACATTCAATATTTTATTGTATATATATTTATTAACTTATATTCATTAAAGAATTTTAAGTATTTGGATCTTTCCTAACCTTTCCTTTCTAATCTCATTTTAATCTTAAATATAATCTCCATTTTCATTCCTGTAGGCTGTTTATACTGCTGGTGTAACACTGCCAAAGCCAGTTGCATCCTGTCGCTATTGGCACCGTTCCCTCAATCCAAAGAAGCTCATTGATGTCAAGTTCTCCCACCTGGGTAAGAACATGACCATGCAACGGACATTAAAGCTGTACCGGCTGCCAACAGAAACTGCGACAAAAGGGTTTCGCAGACTGAAAGTGGAGGATGTGGATCAGGCCCACACTTTGTTAGACTCTTACCTGAAGAAGTTTGATCTGGCACCTGTGTTCAGCAGAGAAGAATTTATGCATTGGTTCCTCCCACAGGATAACATTATAGATAGCTACATAGTTGAGAATAATGGAAAGATTTCAGGTAAGGTCTCATGAGCTCTATCACTTTTTTGTTAGTATTGGGTGTGCTTCTACAACTTGGTTGTTGAAAGCTCATTTGAAATGAATGATGTTCAGTAGACAAAATTATTTTGTAAAATAAGCCAAACTTTGCTTACCATGGTCTCAGAACCAGCATGTTTTGCTTTGTTTACTTAAAAAAAAACTTCTGGGCTAGCATGGATTCAGTAGTGGTATCAAACTCATACAGTAACATTGAGCATATCTGAAGTGTATCTACTTTAGTGTCTTATATTTGGGGGACACTGAAGTTCCTGAAGGAAGAATTGGAAATCCCATATGAATTTAAGTTGAATTGTTGAAAACCAGAAAGGACCTCAGTGTATGTAAATAACAATTAAAGAAGTCCATAATGGAAATATTAATTTTTTATGGCCCTAGATTTTTTTGAAGTAAATACTTTCCTTGGTTTTGAGGAGGATTGTATTTTTTATTATTAATATTGTTAATTACATTTTGATAATCAAAATATCAAAAATAGTAATAATAACTTCAATATTAGTACTTTTTTTTTCTTTTTTTTTTTTCTTTTTTCAAAAACTCGAGCAAAGGGGAGATCATCCGTGTACACATAGGCTTACTAATTGGCTTTCTAGTGGGTGAGCCATTTGTGTTCATACAAAATTCACAAGAGAATGACAGTAGGCAGTGTGATAACCCCGCACCATTATGTTAAGATATGATTGGGTTCAGATTGTGGTGGCATGATGTGTCCCCAGCAAGAAATAGTTGGTATGGTATGACATACATACCATCTGGTTAAGATGTCTTGTATTTAAAGTCAGGCCAACTGCTGCCTCATATGCATACAAAATTATTTTCTTGTTAATTTGAATCCAATTGCAATTTGGTAATAGTATTAGTTTCTATTAAGTGCTGATAACTTCAAGGTTATACTTTCTTTTTCTTTTTCTTTTGCACAGATTTCATGAGTTACTACACTCTCCCCTCAACTGTAATGCACCACCCTACATACAAGACCCTAAAGGCAGCATACTCCTTCTACAATGTTTCAACAGAAACGTCATGGAAGACACTGATGAAAGATGTACTCATTACAGCAAAAAATGTAAGTTCTTTTTGTTTCATTTTCATTCTTTTCAGAGAGTATTTTTTACAAGTATTGTTATTATGGATTAAAATATTTCTAAGCTTTTAGATATTTGTATTTTATATGTGTTTTGAAACTAACAGCATGAAAAGATTTGTTTCATATGTTTTCCTCTCATTAAAAGTTGCAGTTTGTTACTCTACCACAAACTCTTAGAGAGATTATTTAATCTAATTTAATCTTCAAGCTTGTAATCATATACATTGGTATGCATTACCATACCCTTTCTCACCAAAACACACATACATACTTTTCTGTAACTGAGTTATACAATACTTTTATTCATTCTCAGCCAACTTACAATTTTTGTAAACTATTTCAGTCTGAATTTGATGTATTCAATGCTTTGGATCTGATGGAAAATTCTCAGTTCCTTGATGAACTCAAATTTGGCCAAGGTGATGGTAATCTCCAGTATTACCTCTACAACTGGCGGTGCCCAAACATGACTCCCCAGAAGGTAGGATTATGTGCTGCTTGAACTCTGAAGTCATATTGCTTGTTTTCATTAGTGGGTTGCTCCTGTATTAATGTGGAGACGAAATAAGGAAATGTTGTTTATAAGATGGGTTATATTGAGCTAATGTTTGCTAATGAAAAACACCCAGTTGGAGTATGATATTCCTTTTTTTTTAGGTACATACACATATACACACACACATGCACATACACACAAACATACACCTACACTTGTACATAAACTTGCAGACACACACTCACAAATGCAAATGCAAACACACAAACAAATTTTCTTAAATACTTACATGATTATGTCTTATCTTTTTTCAGGTTGGACTGGTGTTGCAATAGTCAAAGCAGATTTAGTTTATAGAATGTGTATTCCATCTAGTGAAATGGGATGGAGTTCCTAGTTTGAGACTGCTTCAATTCTGCTCAGTATTTGGCTCTTATGTTTCATATTCCAGTATAAGGAACACATATATAAAGATGACAAGAACAAAGAAAATGTATTTATATTCTCTGAAGTGAGCTGCAGTTGAATTGTGTACAGGTTGCAAGGTCTATATACAGTATAAATAAAGAAAAAAAAAGATTATAATTACCACCCTTTGGCAGTCACTTTACCGTTGCCTCCACTAGCACAATCCTAGGATCATTGAGAGTATAAGAAAAGAATGGAAGTGTTGGATTGCCGGTTACAAATCTATTACATGTGGAGGTAATAGCCATACATATGGCTAGGGTGCAAGTTATTTCTATCTGTGTTTGTATTTTTTCTCACTTTTTTCCTTTCCTTTTCATCTTTGAAGAATAAAGAAAATGAATGGGAGATTATTTTACACCCAATGAAAATAAAATGTTTTACCATTAGTCCATCAGTCATAAGAAAGAAAGAAAAAAAATATAGCAGAATTGTAAATTCAGTGGATACTTCACCTCTCACCAGATGTAAAAAAAACAAAACCACAAAGCAAAAAACCTACAGGCATCATAAGAATTATGGTTCACCTCATTTGTGTAAAATGTATGATGTAAAAACTATCAAGCTATTCTATCTCTAAGTTTTTCTATCTGTTTATCCATTTCTGTCTTTTCTTCCTATATTTCTCTTTGTAATATCTGGCTGTCTGTGTATCTATTTGCCTATCTGTCTGAGTATCTATCTATCTATCCGTCCATCTATAGATAGTTAGATACATAGATAGATATGAATATAGCCATAGATATACATGTATATAAGATATGCACACATTCTCAAAGATGGAGTGAACTTCACATGGTGATTTATGTATTGCAATCCAGGAGTCAGAAAATCATGGTCGTCAATCCAGTGGCTTCTGATCACACCACCAAACACTAGTCTAAGGCAGAGTTATAAACCATGTCACTTATTTACTGTGATATCATTTGCTTGGGTAGAGGCAGTATAGAATTGTCAGTGTTATTGAATTGTTTTGTTTAATGTATGGAATTATTGAAAAAGAGGGATGTTCTATGCATTTTGATTACGTCTTGTGGTAATTTTTTAATTGTGGAGATTTTGGTTTTATTTTTGTATTATTATTTTAGTAAATTTGAAATGTATAACAGTGAAGTACAGTTAGTGAATGATATGTATCATTTTTGCTATTATTGTTATTGCTATTATTTCTGTTACTATTTTTATTATTATTATATTGATTATTCTTATTCATTTATTTTTCATGAACAGTGTTCATTACAACATATGTAGAAAGAAAAAGGTATGAATGAGAATGAATATCTTCACAGAGAAGAGAAGGATTTGACCAGTTTCACATATATCTTCATCAGAAATGAGACATCTCTTATACTTTGAAGATTTGCATTCTCAGTCAGTTCTTTTTGTATTTTTCTTTATTGTAATTATTATTGATTTCTTACTTTTTTACATTATTTCAATTCTCATTTACAGCCTTTATAAGACGGAAAAATGGGTTTGTCTTGTGTTGCTGTTTTGCAAATGCCTATTAGTTTAACAGCCATGTAGTGTGTCAGCTAGATAAGCTAGTATTTCAGGGTCCTTGAGATAACACAAAAGTGCATTTTACATTTTGTAGAATGTGATTTTCTATGTATCTGTTCTTTCTTGTTACACAAAAGTTAAATGGCTAGAAAAAGGACAAGGCTAAGAAATAAAAGAGGAGGATAAAATAAAGTGATAGAAGGACTGAGTTTCATCATTAGAAAATAATGCCCATATCTATTATTGTTTTTTAGCTGTTGGATGGCACAGTAAAGTGAAGGCAAAGCTGATTTATCCAGTTGTGATGTAAGAAGTGTACAGGAGTGTTCAAGTATTGGATGTAATGTACAGCCAGTTCTTTTAATGGTTACGTGTTTTAGAGATAATTGGAGAAGAAAAAAATACAATATTTCGGAGAACTAGTTTATATATATATATATATATATA